CTGTTGATACTTCCTCAGTAGCAGCTAAAGACCTTTTCAATTCCCTAAGTGTTGATGTTTTAGCTTTAATGTGCATTTTAATCACATTATACAGACATTCTTATAGGTGTTTTCTGTTGCTGGTCTGAGTTCATGAATATTTATTGATGTTTTGTTACTGTAAGATGCTTTTAGAGGTTGGGAAAAAACTATAGAAATGCCTCAAATAACATAAAACAGCATCTGCAGTGATGCACGAAATGCTTCTAACAAAGCTACTCCAGTTTAATTTAAGACGATTGTTTTTATCTCTAGAAATAGTATACCTTTGGAATATTGTTTATGTGCAATATTTTCATCTCACACTTCTTTGCAAGAAATACAAGTACCAACTTTAGAGATCTGAAAAATTAAATTTGGGGCAATTTTAGGTAAAACTAGGACAAAATAGAGGGAAAGCTGCAGAGGAGAGAAAGTTCCTATTTAAATAAAGCAAAAATAAAAAGTTTGAGAGGACTGTACTCAACCTGGTGAACCACACTTCACCCAGTTCTGGTTTAATGGTTCGATATTTCAGCCCTCTTACCTAATTATTCTCAAACAAGAGACACAAATGTATTAACATGCTTTCAAAACACTGGGTTGGTATATATGGTGACTTTGTCTTCCTGAAAGGGCAGTAAGTCAAGGAGGGGGCTAGCTGACACAGCTGGGTCTAAGCTGTGGATCTTCAGATGTTTAGATGTCACGAATCCTGCAATTTTCCCCAGTCTGTCCAAACCGCTTCCCATTCTCTTCTACCATTGAGGGCTGAGAGATACTCTAGAACAGAACTGAATTACGGTAGGGAAAGCTGGTATAGGTAGAGGAATTACTAAAAACTGAGTACCCTGATTTGCAAAAATTCTTTTCAGTACAGTAAAGTTAACTGTAATAAAAATAACAACAGAGAGCAGTGTTCAAATGGCAACATTTACATAAATGAACTTCATAGCCCCATGCTATGGGTTGGATCAACATATGCCCTCTGTGATACAGGAGTTGCTTCTTCTTCCAAAGAAAGTGCCTTCCGCAAACTGATGCCCTCCAGATGTGCTGGACTTCAACTCTGAGAATCCCTTACAACTTTCTGAGGGCACCAACATCTGTCACCCACTACTGTTCAAGGCATATGACAGCCTCCTAGCTGCCAGATGCCTTGAATGGTAGTAGTTGGCACAAGCTGATCTAAGATGTGGCTCTCCTGATATTTTTGTATGCAAATTCCATAATTCCTAAGCAATGGCTATGCTAGCTAGGAGTGATGAGCGCTGCAGTCCAAAACGTGTATGGGGTCACAGCTACCAAACTCTCTAACTTTTCACTTATCTATGTCTCTCAGCCACTGTTCTCAAGAGAAAACAACATGCCATCTGGCAGTACTGGGGCAATGTGAGTCATCTGGGCCAATATACTTATGGTTTGTTTCAGCTGTGTGAATTTTCTGGTCCTCTGGGGCGTATTCTGAAAAGGCACCATTGCATGACTATAAATGCCTTTATGATACTGTTACTAATTTCCTTTGAGCCATAATACACAGCAGCATTATACCTTGAAGATATGTTTTCACAATTATCTCCCATGCCTCAGATTTCTTTTGTTAATTACATCAGGGCAGATAATAATCTGACAGTATGTCTTCAGGAGGCATATACTTAATTGTGGAAATTTCCGTGCTGTCCTTCTACTACAGATGACAGATCAGGAAAAGTCGGATGAGCACTCCTATGGACTTCAATAAAATTAAAATTGCATCTGAAAAGTTGCTAACCTATTTACATGCTTGAGGGTTAATTCTTTTTCATGCCAACACTCCAATTCTAAACACATTATCTGGAAGAAAATGCTATTGATTTCAATGGAATTTACCTCCACATAAGCTTGCTTAGAGTTAATGCCCATAACTTACATGCTTAGATACACACACCAGTGAACAATTTCTTGCAACAGAAAGCTTTCCTTCAAATTGGAAAAGGCAAATGCCATAATTTCAAGTCATAGATTGTTCTCCACATCTTATCTTTAAATGTAGAACATAATGCTTATCTGCATAATATTAGAAGTACAATAATGTTAGATATACAACATAGTTGTAGGCCAAGTAAAAGAGACGTATATTTATATCTATTTTTTCTTAAATAATTAAAGCCACATGCACTCCACATTTTAAAAAGTCAAGATAGCTTAACACAAAAGATTAAAGTGCCAAGAACCGAATATGGCAGTATTAGAACTAAGAGCAAAAACAAATATCCAAATTAAAAAGAGAGAGAAACCTATATCTACTTCCTCCCAGGTTATACCATGCCCTGCAGATCATGTGTGTCTATCTTTTTATCAACTAAAATCTTCCCAAAAAGTACCATTCTGCAAATAAAGCAATAGGAACATTGTGTTGTTGCCTCTGTAACAACAAATCCTTTATGATTGGCTTTTTACATACCTTTACTTGGATATAAGTCTGATTGAAACAAGCCTTTATGATATGCTTAGAGTCAAAGTACGCCTCACTTGCAGTTACTGAATGTTTTTTGCCCCAGCTTAATATGCCAGATACTGCAATCCTTGCTTATTGGTACAAAGGTAAGCTGCTCTCTTGTGTTTAACAACCATGTTAGGGTGGTGGCGGCAGCCACTTTTTTCACCACCATAGCATGCGAGGAAAGGGTCTGCATGCCATCAGATGCCAATCAGCACCAAAAAGGTAGGATTATATAGTCACTTATAGGCTCTGTAGTTGCAGGACAACAAGTCATGGGTGAGGAATCTTTGGAGAACATGTATTAACAATGCCTTTCCTTCACCACGGAGCAGTTGTGATTCTGCTCTCAATGTGAAGTGAAGTTCAGTGGCTTTGTGACTTTACATGAAGAAGCATTTCATTACATGAAAAAGCCTAGCATTTAATCTCTTGGGTTCTCCCCAGCATATTAGAGATGAATTCAGATAGCCAGAGCACTTCATGTCTGGTATATAAGCATGTAATTAAGAAACACACTTCCTTCTCTCTTTCTCTTTCCTCCTTTTCCTCCTCTTACTCACAGTATCTCTCTCTCTCTCTCTCTCTCTCTCACACACACACACACACACACACACAGAGAGAGAGAGAGAGAGATGTTGATTGGAATCCTGTGGTGCATTTAAAGCCTGATGGCATTATCTGTTCTATATCAAAACTTTAATTTAAACTCACCTATCCTCTGACCAGCGTGGTGGTGCTGCGGGCTAAACCACAGAAACCTGTGCTGCAGGGTCAGAAGACCAAGCAGTTGTAAGATCGAATCTACGCGACGGAGTGAGCGCCGGTCGCTTGTCCCAGCTCCCGCCAACCCAGCGGTTTGAAAGCATGTAAATGCGAGTAGATAAATAGGGACCACTCGGTGGGAAGGTAACAGCGTTCTGTGTCTAAGTCACACTGGCCCTGTGACCACGGAAGATTGTCTTTGGACAAACGCTGGCTCTACGGCTTGGAAACGGGGATGAGCACCGCCTCCTAGAGGCGAACACGACTGGACAAAAAATTGTCAAGAGGAACCTTTACCTTTTTATCCTCTGACCTTAGATTCCAAGAGAAGGGTTCCTCAGGATCCCTTTTTAGCTGGGGAACTCTTTGGAGCCTTGGGAGAGGTTGAGGGAAGCCTTTAATATGTCAAGGGGAATCTTTACCTTTATCTTTGTCCATTTCCATATATATGATTGGGACAGGCAGCAGTGATTTTTGGAGCCTTGGAGCCTAACGCGGAGCGATAGGAAGGTTGATATTAAACATACAAGTCCACAGCTGACCGTGTCATCAGCCTTTATGCGTGTGAAGTTGCACAAAAGAATTTCAGTTATTGTTTCGTCCATTTTGGGAGGGATGTGGAGGCACTGCCAGTTAAACTGCAGAAGCCTCTGTGCTGCAAGGTCAAAACACCTGCAGATAAGACCGAATCCACGCGATGGAGTGAGCTCCCTTCACTTGCCCCAGCTCCTGCCAACCTAGCAGTTTGAAAGCATGTAAATGTGAGTAGATAAACAGGTACCACCACAGTGGGAAGGTAATGGTGTTCCATGTCTAGTCGTGCTGGCCATGTGACCACGGAAACTGTCTACAGACAAACGCTGGCTCTACAGCTTGGAGATGGGGATGAGCACCGCCCCCTAGAGTTGGAGATGACTGGACTAAATGTCAAGGGGAACCTTTACCTTTATCTTTACCTTTGTCCATTTCCATAAATCTGTTCTTGGCTGTGTAGTCACTGGGAGAAAGGTTTGTTTTGTTAAATCTTGTTACATCTGCCAGACTCTGAACCACTATAGTGCTACAGATCCATAAGTATATAATATCATATGACCCGCAAAGTAAGAGGGACAGTGACAGTACTCTGTCTTATGAAAAAGAAAATCCTGAAAAAATGCAGAAACAACTTATAACTAAACCACAATAAATACAATTGATATCATCTGTAGCCTATTGTAGAGTATAAGAGGTTCTAGTAGATTAATTAATGATAAGCTATTTAGTACAGTTTTTGCAGTGATAAGATGTTAATGACAAAGAGGAACATTTTATTCATACTACAAATTTAAGCCAATGCAGAAGCACAGAAACAGAAAGTAGTTCACTAGAAGTCTCATCCATGCATTGAGAGACAAGTTACCCTAATTTAGATCTCTGTGGATCCAAAGATGAAACAGAACTTCAATGAAACCGGATGGGAATAATCAGACACGTCAATTGCTTTGTTCATCTTAGGGGATTTCGCTCCCGACATACGACAAAGCTGGAAAGTATATTTCTTAAAGGCCACAAAGCTTTACTTACTTGGTTGGTGGAATATGAGATTGTATTATGACAGACGCAACAGTCTAATAATCAGAATTTTTAAAAGCCCTTAGGATGATTAACATAGTTCACCTACAAACATCCAGGAGATCTAGGATTTCACAAAAGAATATATCAAAGGTTTTAGATAATGAGATGTACTGTTGTCACTTACCTCCCCCATGCCAATCTGCACAATTTTCAATCCTGTTGTTTTTTCAAGCATGTCTTTGTTGTCAGCTGTTGGGAAAATTAAGAATGACAGAGTTTTAAAAAAGATAGGATCGGTATGAGTTTGCAATATACATTTATCACTCCTAGAACATTCTCAAAATGCCTGTTATTTCACCTTATTTATCCTCACAGAATCTCTGTAAGAAAGATTAGTGTTATTTCCATTTTACATAAGGTCCACTGAGGAAGGGAAACAGCGGTGTCCACACTGTGCATCAATGAATCAATAGCTAAATATATGCTGGATGCAAGGAACAAGGTTTTGAACTAACTGGATGTATTTGCCTTACAATAATATATAAATTAAGCAGCAGAGACACAATTCATTCACTTGTTCCTCAACCAACCAGCTGCTGGACTACATGAGACTGTTGGTGGCTTTGGTGCCTGATACAGACTGAAAAGAGGTGCCCGTTGTATGCAATTGGGTCTATACACATAGACATCATCACTTGCAAATGAGAACACAGCATTCAAACAAATCTAGAAATGAGAGATATACTGTCAGTCAGGAGTTCTAGTGATAACGTCCCCCAAGGTATCGGTCAAGATTCTCAGTCATCTAGGCAAGGTTATATGGAAGTTTAGCTGGCAATTCGACTTCTTTCTTATTAGGTTGAAACATTTTGCTACTCATCCAAGTAGCTTCTTCATCTGAGGAGAGTTGTTCATTTAACGAGCCTGTCTTTTGTCCATCTAATAAGCCTATTCAGACCAAGGGGGAAGTGAAACCAACGTAGAGGATATATCACAGGTCTCCTACCAGCTACTTGGATGAGTCATCATTGCCATTGAAAAAGCAATGACTAGCAAAATGTTCAACCTAATAAGAAAGAAGTCCAGTTGCCATGACTCAACCTCCAGGTTTCTCAAGCTGTTTTGCATGGAGGGAAACATACGATTACAACTTTGTGGATTTCACTGGTTGCTGGTTTGTTTCTTGACTTCACTCAGGGTTCCAGTTTTTAAAGCCCTAAGCTATCTGGGTCCAAGGTAAATTGCTGCCATCTCCGAACTAGCCAAAGGCAAAACAAAAACAGACGAATTTGCCATGTGCAGACTGAAGCAAGCTTCTGTTAGAATAAACAGATAATCTTTCCCTCTAAAGGGAGCTCTCCTCCAAACGACATTTTAATTATCCCTATATATGCCTATAAATCACATCAGTTTTTGAGATCCATTTTTTTTCTCCCTCCTGACAGAAGTTTTGTTGATGGGGACAAATAAAAGGATATTTTCATAATGTCATGCAGAATAAGGAATACTTCTAAAGAAGAGAAAGAGAGAAAGAGAGAAGGGAGGGAGGGAGAGGGAGAGGGAGATCAGCCAGGCTCTCAAAAAACTGTATTACTTCACCAGCCTCACGGGATAATGTTAATTCTCTTCTAACTGTGAGTTGCTCTTTCATTACCGAGCTTTAAAAATATTTTTACTATTACTGATTGATTGTTTGATCTTATTTTTATGTTGTTTGGTCATATTGTTCTATATTCAAGTACTGCTATAAATAGACATTTTGGCATGGAGAGGAATATATTTTAATATAATCAAAAATAAGCGTGCATACCTCCACACGATACAGTGGCACATGTTGATGCATGAGCACCTTCCCCCACATGCTCTGCTTATTGTAAACTCCATATATTTCTGTAGACAATCACACAGGATTCACCAAGTATATGAACTTAATTAAGCTGACAGTCTTCCAAGACTAGACTAGATGAACAAGAGTCCTTTCCAACTAATTCAGAAAGAAATGTTTGGCCCCAGTGTTTCAGAGGATCAAGAAATGCTCTGCAAATGTGCTCTTAAATACAGCATTTAGCTGTTTTATCTCTGCCATGCTTTTCAATCTCATAACCGTCTGACTGCAAACCCCTCCCCCCATTCAAGTTCTCGTGTCAGAATTAAGTGCACATCCATTGCTTCAAGAGTGATTCCCCATTTCTGCTTCTAAACGCACTCAAAAGCTTTCCGGGATGGCAGCCTAGCAATGTAGATTGATAGATAATTCAATTCAGTATTTCTGTTTAGTTATTTATATAGTGTTCCATGCATTCAGAGACTCAGATAACATTAGTCTATTTATTTATCCTTACAAGTCCCTAGTGAGATGGCTAAGTAAATATTATTAACACTCCCTTTTATAGAGAGAGGGGCAAACTGAGGCAGATATGACCCAGGTTTTTCTGTCTGCTCAGAATCCATGCTGGAACAGGCAGTAAAAAGCAAGCATTATGGAGAAAGTGAATTCAAACTATATTCCTATTGATGTTTTCAGGTCTTTGAAATACATATACCTGTATTTTCATTTGTATAACCAAGAGCTTTGGTTTAGTTTTATGTATAAAAGCTGGAATCCTATCGTGAACGTCTGCTGGCATAACACCACTGGTATAATTTTCAGCAGTGAATTGCCACAAATTAAGAAGTTAGCATAGACATTTTCTAGTAATGCAACTAGATAGGAAACACCTACAAAGTCTCAATTTGTGACAAGTTGCTGCTGACAGTTATGCCAGTGGACTTATGCTGATGGGAATAACTAATAGGATTCGGGCCATAGTGGGATAACTGAAAAGACTGTATGTTCAAGTCCCATTGATTTCAAATATGATGTTCAAACTTTGAAAGCCAGTCTTCTAATTTTATAGGCATAAATGAGGCAGGAAATGGCTTTTCCAGTATGCTAACAAAGAACATACTCGAATTTGATATTTCAGGTGAAATGCTATTATCTGAATGTGTTTTATTTCACACATACTAATTCTGCATGCTGCCTTGATAGCTCAGTGAGTTAGGAATCTGGATACAGAGCCAGAAAATGGGAATTCCCTACTGTCTGTCCAAGGAGAAGACCCAGGCTGTGTACAGTATAATTAGGTAAGTTGCAACATCCCAAGGAAGTGAAGTAAATGTCCTGTCCCATCAGATAATCCTGTCAAAGAGTACAAGTGAAGCAAATACAGGCCAAAGTGTTTGAAGCCTCCATGCCAATTGTTAGTAAGAACTCTGACTTCAGCACAAACCTTGGAAAAACTCCTTTTTCAATGGCAATGATGACAGAGGAATCAGAAAGTTTTTGACCAGTATCCTGTTGCACAACTCTGCCTGTGCAATGGGAATGATATCAGCTGTGGCAGATTGCCACGAAATCGTTTCCGTTTCAATGTTGGAGTGTGTGTGATTCAAATAACTGACAGTGCTAAAGGTTGTTATTGGTGAGTGCTGTCGCTCTGCTGTGGCCAGACTATATGAACATTGCATGTTTATGAGAGAGGTATACTGTACTGTTTGTATACATGAGCTGTGTCTGGACCACTCTAGCCGCATTGTGATAATCTAAAAACAGCTGATCGGCGGTTCCAAAACGGCCACCAGAAGAATAAAATGGCCGCCCGCTCTGTTTTCGCGCCCTGCCCTTGCTTACCGAGGCGGCAAAAATGGTGGCCAGATGGGAAATCTTCACTTACCAGTGAGTTTTTGCCCCATAGGAATGCATTAAATGGAGTTTAATGTGTTCCTATGGGGTTTTCAGTTCCATTTAGCGATGTTTCCAGATAGCGACGTTAATCCTGGAACAGATTAACATCGCTATGCGGGGCACCACTGTATTTTTTTTTTTAAAAGATGCACCCATAGGGATCTAAAGGAATCACACAATTTGACAGATTCTAGGTGGGATTCTGTCTTGATACTGTGAGACAGTATTTTGAAGATTCTCCGTCCCTCTCAATAAATGTTACCTGCAATGTGAGACCAAGACATTAAATACCGTGGTCTCCTCAATTTGCACAAAATTTATATAAAATAAACTTTACATAAAACTCCTGTCCCTGCATAAAACTAGTGTTCTGTTTATGAAACTTAGTGTGTGCAACACATACAAACAAAACAAGACTAGCTATTTGATCAGAAAGACACAGACAGTACATTTAATGAATTACTTTTGCTTGCTATTGTTATGTGTAGCCAAGCCATTCCCATTTTAGGGCTCAACTAGATATTGTAATATTCTTGTTTCTGCATCAGGTTTCTAATGCTTGAAATCAGTTTAAAAACATCCAACTGCATGATACACAGATAAGTGTACATTTGGGGGGGGCATTTTTCTTAAACATCCACAAGGAGGTTGAGAATTTTAAATCAATTCTGGTCACACTTTTTTCGGACTAGTTTTGGCATGTGTAAACATCTGTGTTGGAGTAAACAGTGGCTGTGGGGATCTCTTGGGTTTCCCAAAATGGGTTTCAAGTATGAGTTTTGGATACCGTGCACTCCAAATGCTTCCTTTCCCACTTCCTACCATTTCTGTCACTGCATCAATCTAGCACTATGCCAGTTCAAAACGTTTATTAAAATTTTAAATATTAAAAACCATGAGGAGTCTAGGGAAAGGCTGCTCCTGCTGCCACCCCTGCAGCTGCGCTAGAACACTCAATTTTTCCTCCCTTGACCTCCTCCAATGCCCAGGAGAAAGGAGCCCGGAAGCTGCCTCCTTTGCCATGAAGGGCAGGTGGCTTGGTGGCTTTCAGGAACCTTCTCTACTGTGCTTTTGGAACATGGGACCTAACCCTCTCTTTCAGCTCCATGGATTTCCCAGCAGTTGGAGAAAGACAGCTTCCATGAGGATGCACATACTGACACAAAACCACATGACATTATGTCAGTTTCTAAAAACCCATTGTTGTCATTTAGTCGTTGTGTCCGACTCTTTGTGATCCCATGGACCAGAGCACACCACGCCCTCCTGTCTTCCACTGCCTACCGGAGTTGTGTAAAATTCATGTTGGTTGCTTCGATGACACTGTCCAACCATCTCGTCCTCTGTCGTCCCCTTCTCCTCTTGCCTTCACACTTTCCCAACATCAAGGTCTTTTCCAAGGAGTCTTCTCATGAGATGGCCAAAGGATTGGAGCCCCAGCTTCAGGATCTGTCCTTCTAGTGAGCACTCAGGTTTGATTTCCTTTAGAATGGATAGGTTTGCTCTCCTTGCAGTCCAGGGG